TCAGTGCCCCATCCCGGGGACCCCCAGCACCCCCTCCCTGGGATCCCCATCCCCGAGAACCCCACACCTGGGGATCCCCAGCCCCAGAACCCCCAAAACCCGTCCAGGGCAACCCCAACACCGGGACCATCAGCACCCCATCCCTGGGATCCCCATCCCCAAGAACCCAAATCCTTGGGAGCCCCAAAACTCTGGCACAGGGACCCCCCAGCACCCCATTACCAGGAACCCCAAAACCATGGAACACCAACACCCTAGCACCCCATTGCCAGGATTTCCATCCCCTAGAACCCAAATTTTGGGGACCCCCCCCCCCCGGCACCCCATTACCAGGACACTCAAAAATTCACCCTGGGACCCCCAAAATCTCCTCCATGGGACACCCGAACCCCAGCACCCTGTCCCAGGGACCCCCCAAAATCTCCTCCATGGGACACCCGAACCCCAGCACCTCGTCCCAGGGACCCCCCAAAATCTCCTCCATGGGACACCAGCATCCCATCCTGGGGACTGCCATGACCCCAATACTGGGACCCCCAAAACCTCAGCACCGGGACCCCCAGACCTTCCTCCATGGGACCCCCCAGCACGATGTCCCCAGAATCCCAAAATCCCCAAATCCCAAAATCCAGTCCTCGGGACCCCCGGCACCCAGGCCTGGCACCCCCAAAACTTACAGCACCCTGTCCCCAGGGCCACCAGGCTATCCCTAAGACCACCAGGACCCCATCCCCAGGGCCACCAGCCTGTCCTTAAGGCCACCATGATTCCATCCCCAGGGCCACCAGCCTGTCCCCAAGGCCACCAGCCTGTCCCTAAGGCCACCAGGATTCCATCCCCAGGGCCACCAGCCAGATTCCAAGACCCCCAGGACCCTGTCCCCCGGGCCACCAGCCTGTCCCCAAAGCCACCAGCCTGTCCCCAAGATGCTCAGGACCCTGTCCCCCAGGCCACCAGTCTGTCCCCAAAACCACCAGCCTGTCCCCAAGATGCCCAGGACCCTGTCCCCAAAGCCACCAGCCTGTCCCCAAGGCCACCAGCCTGTCCCCAAGATGCTCAGGACCCTGTCCCCCGGGCCACCAGCCTGTCCCCAAAACCACCAGCCTGTCCCCAAGATGCCCAGGACTCCATCCCCAGGGCCACCAGCCTGTCCCCAAGGCCACCAGCCTGTCCCTAAGGCCACCAGGATTCCATCCCCAGGGCCACCAGCCTGTCCCCAGGTCCACCAGCCTGATTCCAAGACCCCCAGGACCCTGTCCCCAAGGCCACCAGCCTGTCCCTAAGGCCACCAAGATTCCATCCCCAAAACCACCAGCCTGTCCCCAAGATGCCCAG